AATGTACTGGTTTGTACCTATGAGTGCAGGCCTGTGGAGGGCATCGGACAGTGTGAGACACCACAGAGTTGGCTATGTGTAACAAACATGGCTGCTGGAAATCGAACTGAGGTCGCGTGAAAGTGCAGCAAATGCTCTCAATCACTGAGCAATCTCTTTGTCTCTATACAAGTACACACTATAGTCTACCCATCAGCCAACTACAGTACATGGAACCTCTCTCCCTTTTGAAACTCAAAAGAAGGGTATTTTATTTGTGTTTTAATAAATAAAGCTGGCCTGAAGATCAGAGTGCAGAGCTAAACTACTAGAAGCCGGGGAGTGGTGGCTCACACCTTAGCCCCAGGACTCAAGGCTATCCGGGATTGAATCTGTCTAAAAAGAGAAACAGAGACACACAAAGGTATCACGAGCACTTGGGATCCCAAGTACTAAACACAGCACTAGGGAGATAGAGACAGGAGTAATGTGGTTGGGCAGAAGAGGAACAGAAGGCAGGAGAGATAAGAGCTCATTGGTGGAGAGGGTAGCATGCCCACCTTGAGGCCAGGGTGGCCCCTTTGTCTGGGTCTTAGGTAGAGGTAAGAACTATCTAGTGATTGGCTTCTTTGCTTTTCTGATCTTCAGCTTGAACTTCAATGTCTGTCTCCTGGTTTTTATTATTTGAGCTACCAGAGGGTTTCTCAGTCTTTATCTTGAACTCTCTCCTAAGAGTTACTGCCGTGCTGCATGTCTGTCTATGGCATTACTAACTCTAATAAACCTTTTACTCAAAGGAACTCCAAAACTCCTTGCAAACCTGAGATCTCATAGTTACTAATTGTGAAAGAGGTATAATGTAGAATGGTGTATTCAAGAATGTTTTCACTTAAAAAGTGAGATCAGACAGGATCATGCTGTGGCACATGTACCCCTTGAAACACACACACAAGCTCTAGGTTTTGTTATCATACAGGAATTTAATTCTGGAGTCTCCCTCAGAAGACTTCATTTAATATCATACAGCTGTATTTCAGTATTAATTTGTAATATGCACTTACTAAGTGATCTGTAGTGAACAGCTCTGAAATGATTTACAAGTCATTAAAATGAAGTAAGAGATGTGATTAGACAGCTATAAAAACCAGCACGTGAATTGTTGAGCTAAAGTGATGATTTTTAGCCTTAAATCTCTGGCACTAAAGAAGCTGTGTCTTCTAACAATTGGTTCAATGATGACTTCCATTAGTAAAACAACAATGAAACCAGAAACATATCCAGTACTCTCGCCTCATGATGTACACTACAAAACAAATGACAATTAGGACACAATCAGAGCCTTTCTGTTTCACACTCTAGGAAAAGTGAGGATTGGAGATGAGATATGGCTCAGCTGGTAAAAGCCAAGGCCCCCACAAAAAGAACAAGAAAAAGTGAAGTTGGAAACCAAACAAATAGTACATGGGTAACATCCTATTCACAAGCGAACAGACATGCCAGTCTTTGACCCAGGACCAATGACCAACTAATACTGGACAAAGAGGAAGAGGAGGGCTGTTGACAATGAAATGTAAAAACTGAAAAGAAAATCTTAATACTCAGGTAAGAGAAAAATAAATAATACAGTACAGTTTCAAAACAAAAATACGTGCAATGGCAGCAGGGGGAGAAGTCACAGACATGAAATAATGTTTAAGTCTTTAATTAAATCCCCATTCCTTAAGTTCTCTCCCTTTACTGTACCACCTTGTTTTTTAAAATTGTATTTATCTGATGAGTATTTGCCTGCATCTATATATGCTTTGCACCAGGTGTGTGTCTGATGTCCATAGAGTCCAAAGGTGGCGCTGGAGTACCAATGGTTGTAAATGTCACGTAGGTGCTGAGAATCATACCTGGGTCTTTGCAAGAGCATAAAGTGCTATTAATCAACGAGCAATCTTTCTCACCTTTCGATTTAGTAAACTTTTTTAAAAAATATTTATTTATTTGTTTATTACGTATACAGTATTCTTTCTGCAGTCCAGAAGAGGGCACCAAGCCTCATTACAGATGGTTGTGAGCCACCATGTGGTTGCTGGGAATTGAACTCAGGACCTTTGGAAGAGCAGGCAATGCTCTTAACCACTGAGCCATCTCTACAGCCCCCTCGATTTAGTAAACTTAAAATTACTTCTTTAAGTTTGGGTAGTTTAATTCTTGATGTTGGGGAAAAAAACAAACAAAAGCCTCAAGGTCATTATTAAGTGTACTTAGGAAAGTTTCTACTTGTTTGATAATTCCTAAATTGCTCAATCATAATCAACAGAGTTTAAAATGAAAAGCTACCACACTCCCCTGCTTTGGCTTTAACTATCCACTTATAATTTCATCAGTCGTACTCTGCAACCCACCCATATAAAAAAAAGAAATAGACAAAGAACTACATGCAATTTAACAACTTTGTTGAAAATGGGATTCAGAAAAAGAGTTTCTATTTTCTTTTATTAATGCTACTCCAACACACATATAAATGCCAAAAAAGGGGGGGGATTTTTTTTTTTACAAACTTCTAATGAAGAAAACTTTTTCTATACATACTGGACTAGAAGGAAGAATAGAGGGAATATAAGGGTCCAAAGGAAAGAACTTAGAACCTTCCATACCAGAACCACACGGAACAGTGAGGCTGCAGAAACAGCAGCTCCCTATGTGGCCGCCTTTTAGTGCTTTAACAACCAAATCCTACAGCATAACCAGTAACTTGCACATGAAGTCAAAAGGGAAACTGTGGCAGGGGAGTCCTCTTGTCCAGCCAATTCTCTGAATATCTATGCTTTTACACTCTTTTTATTAATTTATTTATTAAGCATACAATGTACTGCTGGCAAGGAAGGCACCATGTCTCATTACAGATGGTTGTGAACCACCATGTGGTTGCTGGGAATTGAACTCGGGACCTCTGGAAGAGCAGCCGGTGCTCTTACCCTCTGAGCCATCTCTCCAGCCCCACTTTTACACTCTTATACTTAAAATGTATTTATAAACAACAGAGATCCTTTTGGTTTTTTACAGTTTCTATAACTCAGGCCAATTTGCTTTTGGGAGGGGGGGTTCAAGACAAGATTTCTCTGTTTAACCCTGGCTGTCTTGGAACTCAAACTGTAGAGGAGACTGGCCTTGAACTCGCAGAGATCCTCCTGCCTCTGCCTCCTAAGCACTGGGATTAAAGGTATCGCACCACCACGACCACGCCTGAATGGCTTTTAAATGTAGTCCTAGAACTTTAAATTTAAGATGTAGCATTTTAAAGTTTAAATATCTCTGCAGTACTGTTTACAATTTTTAATTAAAGTTGTACTCGTTGGCCGGGCGGTGGTGGCGCACGCCTTTAATCCCAGCACTCAGGAGGCAGAGGCAGGAGGATCTCTGTGAGTTTGAGGCCAGCCTGGTCTACAAGCACAGGAACCAAAAGCCAGAGAAACCCTGTCTCGGAAAGTCAAAAAAAAAAAAAAAAAAAAACAACAGAAAAAAGTTGTACTCGTTGGGGGACTGAAAAAGAAAAAAGAAAAGCATAGTAAGTCAAATAAAAGGCTCTGTGGAAAATTTCAGCAATAGAATGGATCAAGTAGAGGACAGAATGTCTCAAAAGACAGGTGGGAAGAACTGGAACCATTCAACGAGGACAAAGAAAATAATAAATAGCAGCGGGAATTCTAAAATCTGTGATTCCCTGAAAAGTTCAAATCTATGGGTAATAAGTACAGAAGGAGAAGAACCTAAGGCATTTTTAAAAGAGTGAGAACACAGAACTTTCAAGAGTGAGGAAGAGAAACCAAGGCAGAAACAGGAGGCACTCACGACACTAAGCACACCAGAAGAGTTACCTCCCCAGTATGCTGTAACTAAAGCACCAAGCACACAGAATAAAGGTGGGAAAGGAAAGGCACACGCAGCATGTTTGTCAGAAAAAGAGCAGATCACTCAGTTGAAACTGTAAATACCAGGAGGCCTGGACAGATGTTCTGAAGTTCTAAAAGACAACTGACAACCAAACTACAACTATTCATCAAAAATAAAAACATTCCATAAAAAAAGAAAGGCTAAAGAGGGTTCTATAGGAAATAGGCTTGAAGGGAAAACAAGTCCATCCATGAAGCCATAGGAAAGAATAACTCATGCTACTGTAACCGTTCAGCAAGAAAGGAAGAGGAAAAAAAAAAACAGTACAAAATCAACAAGATAGGCACCAACACACACTTTTGAATAACTCTGAAGATTAATGGTTGTAACCTCCAATCAGAAGACACAGTCTAGTAGATTGAACCCCCCCCCAAAAAAACCATCTGTCAACTACCTCTAATAAATGCATATTAGCACAAAAGACAGACAGTGTCTTGTCTGAAAGGAGAGAAAAAGGTATTCAAGCAAGTAGATCTGGAAATGAAGCAGGTGTCAATGATCTGAAGAAATAGACTTCAAACAAAAACTAGCAAGAAAACAACCCTATTCCGATTAAGAGAACATTCCATTAAAAAGGACATTAGGATTCTAAACACATATCCCTCAAACACAGGTGCATCCAATTTCATAAAAGAAATTATATTGATGTAAAGTCACAGATTCATCTAGTACATACCCTACTCTCACCAACTGACAGGTGTTTCTAACAAAAAATAAGCAGAGACATATCTGAATTAAGTGATATCCTAAATAAAAGGTACCTAAGAGACCCTAATTATGGAGCATCCATCCATTCCAACACTGCAGAATACACTTTCTTCTAAGAAGCCCATGAGACTTTACCTAAAACAGATCAGATACTAGGACACAAAACGCAATAGAAGTAGGGTTTCTGTTAAGAGAAACCCAGAGCAGACACAAGCTCATGGAGATTAAACAACATACTACAGAATAATGATGAGGTCCTCAAAGAAACCAAAACAAAAATTTTATTAAAAATTTCTAGAATTGCCCAAATGCCTCGAAATAACGCTGGGGTCACCACCTCCAAGGAGGAACCTGGAGAGCAGCCGTGGATGATGGCATCCACATCTGCCAGGAACAACGGAGAGAAAAAGGACAGCTGGCCATCTCAAGCTGCGGCCGCCTTAGGTGGAGGGCAGAAAGTCTCATTATCTCGGTCTGAAGAATTCCTGAGCCAGATCAGCGCAGAACTTACAGATGAAGCACTATTTATTGCTCGCTCCCAGGTGAACTCTGTGCCCACCAAGGAAATGCAGACAAAAGACCAAGGGACTCAGATATCATCTAAACACGTGGTCTTCACCAAGACCCGAGGCACAGACACCTGCTCTGACAGAAATCGCAGCAGCACCAAGGCACACCTTCTGCCATCTCCTCGTGAAAAGGGAGTGCTCCCCAATAGCCTGACGACTGGAGGATGAGTCCCACCCTCCCCAGTGCTGCTCTCTTGGCCTCGCCCTCCCCCATTTTGTCCCTCAGTGAAAGCCTCAAAGCCCCTCCTTTGCAACTGGCTAAACACCTCATCTCGGGAGGAACTCCTGCTCACCAGCAATGCCACCTTTGAAACCAACCAAGTCCTCTGGACCAGCTGCAGGACTCTCCATCTTCCATGGGCAATCATACTACTGAGGAGAAAAGGTTTTAATAAAGAGCCAGGGACCCTCCCTTCCCCTCCAAAAAAAAAAAATTTCTAGAATCAAATAAAAACACAATACACCAACTCCTATAGGATAAAATGAGAACAGTCCTAAAGGAAAAGTTTATAACTTTAAATACTCACATTAAAAAACAAACACTACATAGAAATCTGAAACAACTTAATGATATACCTGAGGGTGAACCCCCAAAACAGCTGATCATTAAGGTTAGGGAAGAAATTAATAAAATGGAAACAAACAAAAGCAATATATACAGCCAAGAAACTGGTCTTAAAAAGACAGAAACAAAAATTAGCTTTTTTTTTTTTTTTTTTTTTTTTTTTTTTTTTTTTTTTTTTTTGGTTTTTCGAGACAGGGTTTCTCTGTAGCTTTGGAGCCTGTCCTGGAACTAGCTCTTGTAGACCAGGCTGGTCTCGAACTCGCAGAGATCCGCCTGCCTCTGCCTCCCAAGTGCTGGGATTAAAGGCGTGTGCCACCACCGCCCGGCTAAAAATTAGCTTTTAAGACTGAAAAATTGGCCGGGCGGTGGTGGCGCACGCCTTTAATCCCAGCACTTGGGAGGCAGAGGCAGGCGGATCTCTGTGAGTTCGAGACCAGCCTGGTCTACAAGAGCTAGTTCCAGGACAGGCTCCAAAACCACAGAGAAACCCTGTCTCGAAAAACCAAAAAAAAAAAAAAAAGACTGAAAAATTGGTTACTTAACAAGAAAGAAAAACCCTGAACTAAAATAATTAAAAAGAGAGAAGGCCAAAATAAAATCAGACCTGAAAAGAGAACCACTATAATGGATACTAATAAAATCCAGAGTATCATTAAGTCTTACCTTAAAAACATATTCTACTAAACTGGGAAATCTAAAAATAAAATAAAAAATTCTAGAGGTATTATGATCTATCAATTAAAATGAAGATGAGGTTTAAAACTGTAAACATATCTCTAACAATGAGATAAAAACAGGAATTAAAACTCTGGTGCATGCTTTTAATCACAGCACTCAGAAGGCAGATGTAGTGCCATTTTATTTATATTTTAATAAAGCTTGCCTAAGGATCAGAAAAGTAAAGCAGTCACACTGGCCAGCCTTACAGACCAGGCAGCTATGACACACACCTTTAGTCCCAGTAACCACACTAGTTTGCCACAGAAACCAGGCAGCAGTGGTGTACACCTTTAATCCCAGACCTAGAGATGATTATAACACCGGAGGAGACAACTCTCAGATATAGTCTAAACCTCATGCTGGGAATCCTGAAGGCAGAATCGCCATTTAGGAATGAGGTAGAAGTAAGAGCCAGTGGCTAGTCTTTTCTGGTCTTCAGGTTGAACCCCAATTTCTGTCTCTTAGTTTTTATTAATTGTACATTAGGCAGAGACAGAAGGATCTCTGAGTTTGAGGCCAGCCTGGTCTACAAAGCAAGTTCCAGGACAGCCAGGGCTATAAAGACAAACCCTGTCTTGAAAAACCAAACACCAAACCAAAACAAATTAAAACAAACAAAAGAAAACCCCAAAACAACATAACTCTCAGCTAGAGAAGACCAGACACAAATGGATTCAATGATAAATTTTACCAGATCTTTAAAGATGTAACACAGAGAAACCCTGTCTCAAAAACCAACCAACTAAACAAACAAATGGCAAACTTTAGCCAACATTATATAATGGGGGGACGACTCCAAAGCATTTCTACTAAAATTGGGATAAAACAAGGATGTGCACTTTCTCCACTAGACAGCAGTCTTAGTGCAGTAAGACATGGGCAGCAAATAAAGGGACACAAAGAGGAAAGAAGTCAGGTACCTGTCTGTGGATGACAGGACTCTATACCCGAATCCCCAAAGCCTTAGAAAACTCAGAGAACTGATAAAACACTTTAAGCAAAATGGCAGGATACCAAATCAAATTCCCCCACCCAAGGCCCCACAAATCAACAGCCTGGCTTCCTATACACCAATCACAGACCCACTAAAACAGGGATTGGTGGCCCAGGGAAACGTCTCTCCAGTTAAGAACACATACGGCTTTTTGCAGAAGATGTAACTTAAAGTCCAAGGACTCATGTGTGTAGGCACAACCACCTTTAACTCCAGCTTCAGGGAGATCCTACACCTCTGTCCAGCATGGACACCTACACTCATAGGCACACACACACTTAAAGCAGAAGAAGAAAGAGGAATAAAAGTAGATAGAGCATGTGTTGAAGTGGAAGGTAGAGTTGGAGATGGATGTGATAATATATTCTATATAGATATGAAGCTGCTAAAGTATAAGTAAAAATTTTTTTCGATAAAAGGAAGTTTTTCAAATGATGTATCAAAATCCAGACATCACAAGTAAAGATTTATGCTGGGCAGAGTGACACATGCTTACAGTGCCTACAATCCCAGCACCAAGATTGCCAAGGCAAGAGGATCTTGAGTCTGAGGTTAGCATGGATACAAATTTACAAATTTTTTACCCAATGCTAGGGATTACATATAGGCCTTATACCTGTTACATAAGCACTTTACCAACTAAACTACATACAAAATGACTTATGAATTGAAAACCATACATTTCTGCATGGAAACTGACAAAATAATATCTAAAGAAAACTAACCAAGATGGCTCTTGGGGTAAAGGTGCTTGCCAGCAAGCCTGAGAACCAGAGTTTGAGCCCTAGAGCCCATACCCACAATTTACACTCCGATATCACATACATACTATGGCATGCATATGCATGCAGACATGCACACACACAATAAATATAAATTAAAAAAATACAAACTGAAAGAAATTTAAACCCACATTTCAAGAAGCTATGTCACTGCTGCTATTTAGGAAAACTCTTCAGAATTCGCCAAGTTAAAAAGCACGGGCTGGAGAGATGGCTCAGAGGTTAAGAGCATTGTCTGCTCTTCCAGAGGTCCTGAGTTCAATTCCCAGCAACCACATGGTGGCTCACAACCATCTGTAACGGGGTCTGGTGCCCTCTTCTAGCTTGCAGGCATACACACAGACAGAATATTGTATACATAATAAATAAATAAATATTTTAAAAAAAAAAGCACTGGGCAGGCAGAGGCATGCTAGTCTACCCAGTAAGCTCCAGGCGAGCCAGGACTACATAAAGAACAACAGTATAGAAAACAGTATTATCAATATGGCATTTATATTTTTAAATGGAGAAGAATATGTATGTAGGAGACATGTAGGTGTTTATACAAATTTCCAGAAAATATAAAAATGAAGCATCGTTTGCTTTCCTGAAAGATTCTTTTCATCAATTTGGTTCTAAACAACATCTTTATTTTTACATTCTTGTTTTATGTGTATGGGTGCTTTTGTGCCATATTGATTTAGGTGCCCATGGAAGCCAGAGCAAGGTATGTGATACTCTGGAAGCAGAGTTGCAGATGCCTGTAGGTGTTGGGAATAGAACACAGATCCTTTAGAAGGGCTAATCCATCTCTCCATCCCTAAACACTGCATGATCTTAATGTAGTATTATTATTCTAGCAAATGTAACCCTAAAAATATATTAAATACAAAAATTTCTTCACTTTGCTTCAGGAATTACTTTTCTACCCACAGTATTATCATTATATCACCATGGTATTATCAAGCCAACTTCCTAAATGGTGATTCAGAAATAGATAAGTTTAAATGATGACAGTATATTCAGGAACAATGACAGGCTAGTATTTGTTGCAAGAACGCCTACTCCCCTCCTGCTAAGGTCTCAATACAAACCAAAGATCCCCCTTATTAGTTTACTGAGCTTACTTACAGGGGATGGTGACTCCAAAGAAGCAACACTGGGAAGTCTGTACCTAGCAAGGATGATACACAGATGAAGCACTCTTCTAGTCTTCTCCAGCCTACATATTCTAACCTCCCCCTGATTCCTAGGGCCATGTGCAATCAATGCAGAATCGCTTACAACCCCAACTCCCCTCTGAGGAAAGGTCAACAGTTCACATGCCCAGCTGGGAATAGAAGGCTGGAGAGCTCAACTTAGTGGTAAAGGGGAGGTGAACCTCTGGGTTCAAAACCCAGTACTAATAAATAAAAGGCCATGCTTTTAATTCCAGCACTCTGGAGGCAGACGCAGACAGGTCTGAGTTTGGGGCCAGGAAGGTCTATACAGTAAGTTCCCGGTCAGCCAGAGTGACACAGTGAAACTTTTAGCTGGAAACAACTCAAACAAGAACCAAAAAAGTTCTGGTCTGTCGGGAGCCAATTTCCTCCTAAAATCATTACAGGAACCATCACCCTGGGGAGTCTGCAGAGAACCCCACAGCCCTAAGTGTGTTAGGAATCGTTCTATTGACAGAGCCTACCCCACACCCATGAGGGGTGCACTCCACATGGCCTAAGACAGGGTGCCCTGTGATCTGCTTACTTTAAATCTCGCTAGATACCTTTCATTTGAGGAGCTCCAAGGACGGGTGACTTGTGGCAGGACATCCCCCAACCTAAGACAGGATACTGGGAATCCTAGGACGGGCAAGGGGGATAAAGACCTGGTCCCCACTCGACCTAAGAATCATAAGGCACCCCTCTGTTCCCAGGAGAGGTAAATTGCTTCACCATTCGAGAGAAGGGTCTCTCCTTGTCCCAGTCCCTTCTCCTTTAGATCTGACACCATGGTTGGACTCTGACCTGATGCCCTCCACTTAATAGCTGCCTGTCTTTATAAAAGAAAGGGGGATCTGTCAGGAGCCAATTTCCTCCTAAAATCATTACAGGAACCATCACCCTGGGGAGTCTGCAGAGAACCCCAGACCCCT